CAATGTATGAGAAGAGCTTTGAACACTCAGCATACTCACCAATAGATGACCATCACCGATAGTTGACAACTAACAACGGTATGAGAGAGGGCCCTAGACTCCTGGGATTTTCACCAACAGCCCAAAGGACATCAACCACTGCAAGGACAAGTAAAAATGAAGCCAGCGAGCCGACTGTGAGCTAAGAATATTGAATAATGGCTACCATCACCAAACTGATGACAACGACTAGCACTTTATCACGCTTGAACTGTTTTAATCGCAATCCATGTTTTAGTGTAACTTATTTGTTTTATGTAGTTTATCTGTTTTTATGTAAGCCGCCCTGAGCCGGCTTCGGCTGGGAGGGCGGTGTAGACATTTGAGAAATAAATATATAAAATAAAACAAAATAATGAAGCGGTGTCTTAGATCAGTAACAGAAGGCAGTCAGATCAGTAACAGAAACTATCAATCTACACATTTTTTTTTAATCTCATTCTTCTTCTAAGTGTACGTGGTTCCCCTCTCTCCCATTTTCCCTCACAGCAACCCCCGTGAGGCGGATTAGGTTGAGAGAGAACAACTGGCACTCGGTTACTTGGTAAACTCCGTGACTGAAGGGATGTTTGGATCCAAGTGTCCGAGGTCCTAGTCAAGAACTGCGACCCACACGACCGCCAAAGCAGAAGAAGAAGAAGAAGAAGAAGAAGAAGAAGAAGAAGAAGAAGAAGAAGAAGAAGAAGATTGGATTTATACCCCGCCCTTCACTTGGAGTCTCAGAGCGGCTGACAAACTCCTTTCCCTTCCCCTCCCCACAACAGACACCCTGTGAGGTGGGGGGGGGCTGAGAGAACTCTGACACAAACTGCTCTTTTTCAAGGACAGCTGTGCCAGAGCTTGTGACTGACCCAAGGTCACATCAGCAGGTGCAAGTTGGAGGAGTGGGGAATCAAACCCGGTTCTCCCAGATTAGAGTCCGCACACTTAACCACTACAACCAAACAAATATGCCCTGTGAATTATCCAGTTCAACGTTTTTCGTTCACTCGCCGATTTAAAAATCGGTGCCCTTAAATCATCTGTGTGAGACTAGGGAGAATTGCTTTGAACCTCAGGCTTTGAGGGAGGGGGGGGGAAAGGGAATGAAATGCAGGTTCTCCTAGAGAAGGGCACAAAACAGGCTCTCAGCAAGCAAACGTGCCCGTGTTAAAATTAGTGAGGTAGATACATTTTCTCACTTAAACCCCCCCCCCAACATTTCCCCCCAGTTTTCTTAAACCAAAACAGGATTTCAGCTTTAGCCCAGTCCTGTATAGGAAAGCGCTTCCTCAAACCACTAGCGTTTTGATCTTTTGGACCAGCCTGGAAGTGGAATTGTTTTCTACAGGCACCATCTACCATATAAATAGAGGAATTCGTTCTCAATGACGGTGATGTTTTCATTGCATTTTTCGACATGAGCAATGTATCTGACAAGCTGCAAAGCCAATATTTTGCGGTCTGGCTAGACCATCCAGTGGTTGCATCAGTTGCAACGGCAGGGGAAGTAACAAGTCCCACGTGTGTTTTTTTTTTGCCATTCTGCGTTTTCAAGGGAACAAATGCAGGCGAACACAGTGGAATAGCGGGAAGTGGGTTATTTGTCTGTCTGTTAAAGGAGGATGTACTTTTAAATGTATCCCTCTCCCCCCAAAAAAGTTTCTTTCTATTTTGTGCCCTGACATAAGCAGGCGTTCCAAGGCATGGCTCATTCTCGTCCCCTGTTCTTAAGCAAATAGCTGTATTGGCAGAACTCGCAATGCCTCACCACGTTGTAACTAAACCGCTGTATACCGAATCGAGCACAAGGAATGTGTACAACTGAAAGACTCCCTCCTGTATTTCCTGTAGCAATCCAAGTAAAGGTAAAGGTTTCCCTTGCTCGAAAGCTCGTCAAATCCGACTCTAGGGTTGCAGTGCTCATCTCCGTTTCCAAGCCGAAGAGCCGGCGCTGTCCAAAGACATATCCATGGTCATGTGGCCGGCATGACTAAACGCCGAGGCGCACAGAATACTGTTACCTTCCCACCGAAGCGGTACCTATTTATCTACCTGCAGTTTCTTGCTTTCGAACTGCTAGGTTGGCAGGAGCTGGGGCCAGAGACGGGAGCTCACTCCGTCATGCGGCACTAGGGTCTCGAACTGCCAAACTACAGACCTTCCAGTCTGCAGCTCAGCGTCTTAACCCATAGCCAAGCCAGTCTGAGTTCCTCAGAACTTGGCAGCTAAGCAGGCCACAATCAGTAGTTTGACGGGAGACCGCCAGACAGGACTGAGGTTGCTACATGGAAGAAGGCAATGGCAAACCACCTTTCTTTGCCTCTTGTCTGGAACCCGCCTTGGATGGGGTCAGTATGAGTTGGTTGCAACTTGATGGCACCTTCTTTAGAAGGCTCATGGGAACCCATGGTATACAAGGCCACAGGAGACGATGTGCAGATGTTCAGAAGGGAGTACAGCGTAGACATGTAGAGCAGTGCATGGCCTGATGCATGGCCTTGATGTCTGTGTATCCAGGCAGATGTGCACAAGAACGTGTGAGAGTTCTTCCATAGGCATAACAGCTACAGTGCACAGCAATGTGTTTGCACTATCAATGATGGCCTGCCCCACCCACCATGCTGGGCCAGTCTTTGTTTTGTTTTGCTTCTGGGGGCCTGACAAAAAGGGCAGACCGGAAGAGAGATGGACAGAATCCTCAGGAGGAGGTGGCGGCTCCAAGCATGGACGGCCTCAAGAGGGAATTGGATAAACATATGGAGCAGAGGTCCATCAGTGGCTGTTAGCCACAAGGTATAGATAGGAACTCTCGGTCTGGGGCAACTGATGCTCTGTATGCTTGGTGCTTAGGGGGGTGGGGCAACAGTGGGAGGGCTTCGGGTGTCCTGGCCCCACCGGTGGACCTCCTGATGGCACCTGGTATTTTTGGCCACTGTGTGATGGAGTGTTGGACTGGGTAGGTCATTGGCCTGATCCAACATTGGCTTCTCTGATGTTCTTATGTTCTTCAATCAAATAAGAAAGCCTGGGGCCATGAGTGACTCCTGTTTCTACCTCTGTACCCGTTCCCACACTCTGAATCCACATCTTACCTTGAACCTCAGTGTCGTTTCTCATTGGTGGTAGTTGAGTCAGTATGTGTGGACCCTGGTGTGTGTGTGTGTGTGAGATCACAGCCAAGTTACAGCAACCCCATAGGGTCTTCAAGGTGAGAGACATGCAAGGGAGGTTTGCCATTTCTTGTGTCCGAAGAGCAACCCTGATCTCCTTGGCGGTTTACCATCCAAATACGCACCAGGGCCAACCCTTCTTAGCTTCCAAGATCTGATGAAATCGGGCTGGCCTGGGCCGTCCAGGTCAGGGTATGGACTCTGGTACTACCTCCTAACGAACGGCATGCGCTGTTTGTTTTCTTTCCAAGTCATAATGCGACAGAAAATTTTCTGGGGCGCCATCAGCATAATTTTATTTATTTATTTATTTATTTATTTTGGGATTTATATCCCGCCCTATCCAATATTCAGCTCGGGGCGGCTTACAAAGGTTAAAATATACATACAAACAACAGCATGATAAAACAATATATCAGACATAAAATTTGATGCTAATTGATTTACATAAAATCGAAGATGGCCAACATCCACACATTGGCGGCAGGTTGTTTACAGCAGAGGCACCAGGAAGAATGTTCCCCCAGCTCTATTGGGCGACATCTACCCCTACTATATGGGGTAGATGGTTGGAAATATCATTGATGGAACAGTGGCGGCGGCAGCTCCCCCTCGAAAGCCTGGCGGAAGAGCTCCGTCTTGCAGGCCCTGCGGAACTGCACTAAGTCCCGCAGGGCCCGAGTCTCTTCCGGGAGCTCATTCCACCAGGTGGGAGCCGCCACCGAGAACGCCCTAGTCCTTGTTTGGGTCAACTTCACTTTCCGGGGGCCTGGATCCTCCAGGCGATGGAGATTCCCCGATCTCAGTGCTCTTGGGGGAATGTACGGGGAGAGGCGGTCCCTTAGGTAGGCCGGAAGAAGCCATCCTGACCTCCATGGGTTCTTCCGTGTAATCACACGGATTCTTCCGTACGATTGGGCGTGCGGCCAAAAGCAGGGTCCTGATCCCCCCTGGGTGTCAGGCTCCCTGCAAACAGAGGAGGAGGAGGGGAGGATTGGATTTATACCCCGCCCTTCACTAGGAGTCTCAGAGCAGCTTACAAACTCCTTTCCCTTCCCCTCCCCACAACAGACACTCTGTGAAGTAGGTGGGCCTGAGAGAGCTCTGAGAGAAACTGCTCTTTCAAAAACACCTCTGACATGACTATGGCTTGCCCAAGGTCATCTGGCAGCTGCAAGTGGAGGAGTGGGGAATCAAACCCGGTTCTCCCAGATTGGAGTGTGTGCACTGGAGGTTTGGTGCTTGTATGTATGACTCCTCAAAACATTGTGTGAGTGTGTGAGCAGAGTGCTCTCACACACAAGCTTTTGAACATCAGCCCTACAAAGAAATGCTTGGACCTTGAGGTGGTATTCTGTCCACAGGTGTAACCCCCCCCCCCATGCAAGCAGGAGCCCTTGTTTGCATTCTCAGTCGCCAGTACTCAGTCAGCTTTGAGACAATAACCACTGCAAGCATTCCTTCCTTAATGTTTTTGAGACATCGCCCCTCGTGTTGGTGCTACCAGGACCACTTGCACAAAGCTGAAGCGGGAAAGGAACAACTTCTGAGCTTTTCTCGTATTCAAAACATGCCGCTAAAGATCCAAGCCGGGGATTTGGGATGGGGATTTGAGGCCGAGTCTCGAGTTATCTAAATTTCACATCTGCATCTGTGACTTATTTGTATGCTTGAGGAATCAACTAAATGTTCTGTACGTCTTTTTTGGAGTGGGAAATAGTCTCTTACCGGCTTGAGTTCACAGCTTCTCATCAGAAATGGACTGAGGCGTAAAAATTAATACACGGGTTTCTTTCTTCCTGCCCTCAGCATACGATTTACGGTGGTAAGTGACCCTCCAGAAGATGAACAGGATCTTGAGTGTGAAGATATCGGCTTAGCATATGTCAGCCTAAGTGAGATGTTTCGGAAAGGAAAGGACATAATTGAAGATGACATCGATGGTGAGCTTCAGGCTATTTTTTGTTCCAACGTTCAGTTCCAAAATTGTCGCCACATATGATTGCCCGAACTACCTAGAATTGTGGGGGTGCACATAGGCAGATCAGTCTGTTGGCTGGTATTTATATAAAACAGATTCCGAAAGAGGTATCTTTTGTACAATACCTTTTGCTTGAAATACAGTTTCAGGGCTCTTTTTGTAGAAAAAGCCCAGCAGGAACTCATTAGCATAATAGGCCACACCCAACAGCAGGAACGCATTAGCATATTGGGCCACACCCCTGACAGCACAGCTCATTAGCACATTAGGCCGCACCCCCGTGTTGCCAGAAGTGTGGTCATCCAGCCACACCCACCTTTTGCTTCTTATTCTGTTTACCTTGTTTGTTGTCAAAACCCAGAGCTTTTTTTGTAGCAGGAACTCCTTTGCATGTTAGGCCACACACCCCTAATGTAGCCAATCCTAATGAGTTTCTGCTGTTGGGTGTGGCCTATTATGCTAATGAGTTCCTGCTGGGTGTGGCCAACTTGGGAGCCAGCCGGAACTCCGTTCCTGTGCATTCCTGCCCAAAAGGTGCCCCGAGAAGGAGCTGCCTTTTCTCCCGCCCGGGAGACTGGGGAGGGGGGTAGCGCCTGCCCGCCTGCATTTCCCCGCCGCCTTTGGAAAATGAAAGCTTTTTTTTTGGGGGGGGGGGGGTAGGGTTACCTTACAAAAAGAAATTTATTAAATAACACTAAGTTGCGGAAGACAAATAGTCCTCAAATAACAACTCTCTATATCCAAAATATAACTACCAAAAGTAAACACCATCCATTTATACAATTAATGCAATATATTATATCCCATTCTAACCTTCTCATTATAACTGTTTTCTCCAACCTGCTCCTTCATATACTGTTGAGAATCACATGCTTGGTCTGCTCTTTGGTTTTAATTTTATCCCAGTACTCTATGAACAGAGATCATCTTTGAGCAAATAATTACTGCTCCTCAGGAAACGGGAAACCTCCTCAGGAAACAATCCATATACAAAAGAACCTCCTCAGGAAAGCTCCTCCATTAGCATGTTCAGAGCCTGGGGAACTCCTACAAGATAATGGCTCGGCCCTACCCCACCTTCCTGAGTAGATATAAATTACCTGCTTACCCTTTTTCTTCTCACATTGACACAGAGAGTACTCCTTCTTTCTGTGTTATACCTCTGTGGATGCCAGTCACAGCTGCTGACAGAACGTTAGGTTCTACAATGCCAGGACCACGGCCACACAGCCTGGAAAATCTACAGCGACTAATGAACTCCAGCCTTGAAAGCCTTCGATAAACTAATGACTGCTCTCTTATGCCTTCCCTTAAGTGCTTACATAATGCATACGGATTCCTTGCAAGCTTTCTTCTGAGTATATACCGAATATTCATTGCCTAAAGGATAACATCTTTGGTCAGGGACAGATGCTGCAGAAAACATACTGCTGCCTTAAAAGCAGCAGCTTCATGTCTCTTCCACACTTCTCCTTCCACCAATAATATCTATCACTACATTGCAGGTTTAAATTAATTTCCTGATTGATTGATTGATTTACTTTATTTATCGCCCACTTTTCTCTCTGAAACTCAAGGTATGTTACACAGTGTAAAACAGTGCAGTTAAGTAACATGAGACCTCCAATCAACTACACAATAAGAACAGGATCACAAAGATGGGAAGCAATACAAAAATTATCTGTTGTAGATTTTCCGGGTTGTCTGGCCATGGTCTTGGCATTGTAGAACATAATGTTTCACCAGTAGCTGTGACCAGGGCTCTTTTTGTAGAAAAAGCCCAGCAGGAACTCATTTGAATAATAGGTCACACCCAACAGCAGGAACTCATTAGCCTATTAGGCCACACCCCTGACAGCACAGCATATTAACATATTAGGCTACACCCCCATGTTACCAGAAGTTTGGTCATCCAGCCACACCCACCTTTTGCTTTTTATTCTGTATACCTTGGTTGTTGTCAAAACCCAGGGCTTTTTTTGTAGCAGGAACCCCTTTGCATGTTAGGCCACACACCCCTAATGTAGCCAATCCTAATGAGTTTCTGCTGTTGGGTGTGGCCTATTATGCTAATGAGTTCCTGCTGGGCGTGGCCAACTCGGGAGCCAGCCGGAACTCTGTTCCTGTGCGTTCCTGCCCAAAAATAGCCCTGGCTGTGACTGGCATCCTCAGAGGTATAACACAGAAAGACGGAGTACTCTCTGTGTCAAGGTGTGAAGAAAAATGGTAGGCAGGTAATTTATATCTACTCAGGAAGGTGGGGTAGGGCTGAGCCATTATCATGTAGGAGTTCCCCAGGCTGTGAAACATGCTAATGGAGGAGCTTTCCTGATTCTAATCTTACCTGTAGTGCTATTGTCAGACGTAGAGCCTTTTGTACAAAAATTTCAAAAATTATCAGACATATTAAAATTTAAAAATACAAAAATTATCAGACATACTTATTTATTTTTGTTGTTTATAGTCTGTCTTTCTCACCGAGACTCAAGGCGGGTTACACCGTGTAAGTCAATGCTAGGATGGGACCGCTGTTAAGCAGTGTAATAGGACCAGGAGGGCAGAAATCTGAAACAAAGTGTAAGCTAAACATGTTGTTTTATAGTCAACGTTCTTCACACAAATCTAGTTTCCCCCGATAGGTCATAAATAATGCAAAAAAAAAAAACCCACCGGAATTACAGAAATAGAAAGTAATGCCATAAGAGCAAATGAAGGCATACAGTAAAAAGTGGAATAGGCGACAAATGTTCCCTTTATAGAAGTGCCATCCATTTCAACCTTATTCCCTTTACAAAAATTATCTCCTGAACAATCCCGTCTTATACCGTTTGCGGAATGACAGAAGCGTGGGAGATTTCCTGCACCCCTTCCATGAAGTTGAGGGTCCTAACAGGGAATTCACTTGCGCAGGCCCCTATTTATATTACCCTTGAGCGGGGGGGGGGGCACTTTCAGTAGGCTTTGCTCCATTGAGCAAAACTGTGACAGTGGAGCAGGAGAGGTGGTCTGACAGGTGTGCAGGTCCAAGTGAAGAGCTGAGAATTGTTCAGCCTGGGAATGTTTTAAAGGGGGGGAAATGACGTAAAATTGAGCGAGCGGTGAATCGTATTTCTATGAGAGAATGTAAAATCACACAGCGTAACGCCCAGTCTCAATACAAAGTTATTTTGGATGATAGTAAGCACAGTTCTGTCCATACTCCCAAGAATCACTGCTTCTCAGTTCCCAGGCTTGGCTTAACCTTCCGTCAGATGTATCTCTCTGCTGTATAAGAAAATAACATTCAGATGTACTGGAGGCAGTCCAGTTGCCTGTGATTTATTTCACATTCTTGCTGATACCTAGGATGACAGTTCGGTAGTCAACCGGAAGAGTCATGAGAGGAACTGATTCCCCCATTACCGTGGGAGAAGAGATCAAGTGCTTTCCAACGGTGACCTGTCTTGAACAAAAATTCTTAGCCAACGCTTTCTCCTCCCTCAGCCATGTTCTCCCCAATCTGCAGTCAGAAGGGGTTGGATGTCCCCGGACTATACATTGGTTAAAAAAATATGTGGGGGAATTCTAGCTAAGATTCTCCGTTTGAGATAGGAACACATGGTTTGAAAGCTTCAGCTCGCTTCTCCCGTAATAGAACTACACTGAAAATGACTTCTCTATCCAACCACTGATGTTGCTTGTACTCTTGAAAGAGGTTAGGCTTCTTGCACATGGATTATTCATTCCAGGACACAGAGGTAATGGTTTGGAGACTCATTCTGCCCCAAACCCCATTGACCTGGAAGGGTTTGTCCATTTTTCATCATGGCACACAGCTCATCAGAAACAGGGGGAGCGAAATCCGCAAGCAGCGGTCCCAAAATTGTACATGGGCTCTGCGCGACGATGCCTCATTTTGGCTTGTATAAATATACCCGTGCTCTGTCTATATTTGGAGACCAGGACAGCCAACTACCAGGCTCATCTATATATCTAATAGCGAAGTTGCCCCCGGAGTGCGGATCGCTAAATCAGCGCTCCGGGGGCAGCTGGGGGGCCGGGGGAGGTTTGTGCACACGGGAGCCAGTCCCCACGTGTGCACAAAAATAAAAAAAGTTGAAAAAAATCTCGGGGGGATGTTTAAATCCCCCCGAAAGTGCAAGAGCGTCTCCTGCGCGTGCGACCTACCGGGCTTGCGTGCGGGGGAAGGGAGCGAACGGCCGGTGAGGCCCAGCAGCGGCGGGGGAGAAAGACCGGTGAGGAGGGGGAAGAGACGTGGAGCCAGCGTTCCCGTGAAGGGAAGAGAAGCGGCCTGCGGCAATGTCCAAGGCGGAGAAGGCGGTGCTCCAGAGACGGGGCAGGCGAGGCGGCAACGGGAGCGGCTTGGACAGCCCCCCGCCGGCCTCGGAGCGGCCCCCTTGGGTGGCTTCCACCTTGGCCGCCATCCTCATCTTCACCATCGTGGGGGGGGAGAAGAGAGAGAAGGGGGGGAGAGAGAGAAGGGGGGGAGAGACAGAGCCTGTGGGGGGAAGAGAGAGAACGGAGTTCAAGATGAACTCAGTACGCAACATTTTGTTGCGGGTCTCCACTTGTGTACACTAAACCTGAAAGACAGGAACAGTCCCTCTGTTTCCAGTGATGAGGCTATGAGGAGGAGGGCAGGAAGCAGCTAGGCAGTCTCCACCATGTCTAAATCCACCTCGACTGAGAGCCCTGACCCTTCAGCTCCCAACTATCATCACCGCGTCATTAGAGAATGGGAGAAGTAGGTCGGTGCTCTTCCACTGTGGTTGGATCCCATTGAGAGCCCTCCCCCAGCTTCCAGTGGCCATAATGCCCCCGCTGGTGGACCTCCTGATGGTGCCTGGGGTTTGGCCACTGTGGAGCACAGAGCCATTGGCCTGATCCAACATGGCTTCTCTTCTGCTCTTACAATGGGTCCATCAGAAGAACAGCGGGAAGCAGCCAAGGACTCCTCTACTGTGTTTGAAACCAGCTTGATCAAGACCCCTCCCCCCAAAGGGTCATTTTATACTCAACGTTGTCATTTGTGTTAGATTCTTGTTCGTGCGAGCCAGTTTGGGAGCTGATTTTATTTATTTATTTGTTTGTTTGTTTGTTAAACTTATACCCCGCCCTCCCCGCAAGCGGGCTCAGGGCGGCTTCCATAAAAACATAAATACATTAAAATACACAATATTAGATCGAGCAATAAAACATTATAAATACAAAGTGCTGGAGGCTGATTCAAGTAATCTAGATGGTACATTACAGAAGTAAATTTCGACTGTCCAGATGTTCCACGCTGTCCCAAGCAGCCTCCTGTTCTCTCCCTTTTACTGGTTGCTCGCAGGCCGCTTAAGAGCCCTGGACGGGCCAGTTCCGGCCCCCGGGCCTTACATTTGAGACCTCTGCTCTGTGGGATTGTCATAAATCGGCCGCCGCTTGACAGCCCTTTCCCCCGCCATTTTGTACAAAAGCCTTTTTGTTGCACATATGGAAGATGAAATTATTCAACAGGGCGAGAAGGGGGCAGAGGACTGAGGATCTGTACATTCGCTATTGATGTTACCTTCCAACCCATTTCCCCCCCACAGTGTTTGATTTGGAAGATGATGGGACCGTGATCGGAAAGCTCAAAATAACAGTGGAAGCCCTCCAAGCTCTGCGCTCCATCTATGAGGAACTCTGAAATTGGTGGAAGGCTGAAATACAAGTGCCTCATCTTATAGGACGCTGCTTCACCCAGCATAACCCGCACTAGAGAGCTCGTGGGAAGATGCTGCGATATATTTAATGTATAATTTATATGTAAAGGGTGCATAATTTTCAGTTGTAAAGTTTGTATACTTTTTCGGTCTGTTTTGGTTTACGAGTGAGTGTGATGTGTGTGTGTCTGTGTGTGTGTGTGTGTGTGTGTGTGTATATATATATTTTCTCTCCTAAGGGCACAGCCCCCCCCCCCCCCACAGTGGACACCAGCTTGTAAATAATTAATACCTACATGATTGAATGGTGTGCTTTTATTTGCATTTTCAACATTTTCTCTGCCTTACATAAAACAGTAATAAAAATGCAAGTCAAATTTTTAATTTTTAATTTAAAAAAAAACAAACCTTAAGCCTTAGAAAACTGATTAAAAAATACTTTTATGTTATCCCTAATCACCCCGCTAAATGGAATGCCCGCGATTAGCCTCATTAAGAATTTTTATACTGTGAAGCTTTTATTAGAAGCAATATATGAAAATTACTTGGATTAATGTGTTAATCTGCCTCTTTAAAATGCTAATATCCATTTTATGCACATTAAATCTCAGTATGCGTTTTCTTTGATGCATGCCGTTTCTATCAATTAAATATAAAGAACCAGCCTGGTCCCAAGACTTATTAAATTACTGCAAGCTTTCATGAGAGAGAAAAAACACACACTCAACTTTTTGCCTTTTTGCTAACGTTATAATCAGTTGTTTGTGATGATCAAGTTTTGGGGGCAGGGTGTTGCCTAAAATCCTAGAGGCTTTGTTTTGTGTTGTGTTCTTCGCGTGAGCAGGAAGGGGGAAAGTTCCTATTGTAACGAAGTGGTGCCGTAGAAGATGAACCTATAAAAGAATCAGTCCATCAGACTGTCTTACCCTTTGGGCTGGTGATGTGTTTCCACCTTCTCCCAATCTTAAATCACATTCTAAACTTCCATCAAACTTGTTTATGTATTATGTTGTCGAAGACTTTCATGGCTGGAGTTCACTAGTTGCTGTAGATTTTCCAGGTTGTGCGGCTGTGGTCTTAGCATTGTAGAATCTGACATTTCGCCAGTAACTGTGACTGGCATCTTCAGAGGTATAAAGAAGAAAAAAAGGGGGAAAGACTGAACCTAAACCTAGAATGCAGAACCTAAAAAGGTTAGTCAAGAATAGAAGAGGGCCAACTCTAAAAATCTAATTATGAAACATACAAAAATATACATGTATTTATTCAACACAAATTAAAATAACAAACAAGGGCCCATTCCTACCTCACATACAAATATAAAAACATACAAGGGCTAATAAGATAGACCTAACGCGTTTCGGCCTTTACAGGCCTTCCTCAGAGGTCTAATACAGACAGAACCAATGTTCCCTCTAAGCTGTGGAATCTTGTGAGCAAAAATTCTACTTTGTGAGCTACTGGCATTAAAGTTGTGAGCGAGCGATTTGGCTACTGTATAAATTAGTTTGCTCTGGAGCAATCCGTCCTGAGCTAAGACAAAAGTGTGTGAGCTGGAAGCTAAAAAACTGTGAGCTAGCTCACACTAACTCAGCTTAGAGGGAACATTGGTTCTGTCTGTATTAGACCTCTGAGGAAGGCCTGTAAAGGCCGAAACGCGTTAGGTCTATCTTATTAGCCCTTGTATGTTTTTATATTTGTATGTGAGGTAGGAATGGGCCCTTGTTTGTTATTTTAATTTGTGTTGAATAAATACATGTATATTTTTGTATGTTTCATAATTAGATTTTTAGAGCTGGCCCTCTTCTATTCTTGACTAACCTTTTTAGGTTCTGAATCCTCAGAGGTATAACACCGAAAGATGGAGTACACTTTGTTTTTTTATTGTTTATTTATTTAGAAAAGCCTTATTAGCTGCCCTTCTCTCTTGCGGAACTCATGTTGGCTTACGACATAAACAAAACATTATTATTATTTTTTTAAAAAAACCCACACACAATAAAAACAACAATTATAAAACCCCAGAAAAGCCAGCCATCTAAGCTTGTACAATGAATACTTGCACCCTGATGATCAGTAGATGAAAACAGACCACCAGGGCTTTTTTTGGTAGAAAAAGCCCAGCAGGAACTCATTAGCATAATAGGCCACACCTAACAGCAGGAACTCATTAGCATATTAGGACACACCCCTGACAGCACAGTTCATTAGCATATTAGGCCGCACCCCCATGTTACCAGAAGTGTGGTCATCCAGCCACACCCACCTTTTGCTTCTTATTCTGTTTACCTTGTTTGTTGTCAAAACCCAGGGTCTTTTTTTGGAGCAGGAACTCCTTTGCATGTTAGGCCACACACCCCTACTGTAGCCAATCCTAATGAGTTTCTGCTCTTGGGTGTGGCCTATTATGCTAATGAGTTCCTGCTGGGCGTGGCCAACTCGGGAGCCAGCCGGAACTCCGTTCCTGTGTGTTCCTGCCCAAAAATAGCCCTGCAGACCACCAGCTCGATTTTACATCTTTCAACTCATGGCGATGAAGGTTTTAATTGATATATTTGTTTTAATGGAGATGTGAATCAGCACTGCCCCCCCCCGCAAAAAAATGCTGTGAGATAGTAAGCATATATTTAGTTGCATTTTATTTATTTTGATGCACACTTATTTCCTCTCTGTTTCTTTCAAATGGATCTGGTAGGTAAGCGGGGATTTTCCCCTCTGTTTGCAAAACAGGCTATATTTCTTTTGTAAGCATATGTAAAGTATTCAGAAAGATAAGTAATTTATTAAAATCTACCTAATTTGCCGTGATATATTAAATCTCTGCTTCAGTGATCACAGCCCATTTCATTTAGAGAATTAGGCATTCCCTCTTTGTGTGATTAAAGCTCTGGAAAATGAGTTCTTTGCTCCTATTTGTGAACATTCAGAGCCTGCTAATGGCAAGAAGATGGAATAGATTATGAGACAATTCATTACAGTTCAACAGCAAAAAAAAACACACGTATACCCAGACAAAATGCAAAAAAAGAAGAAAAAAATCCACCCACCCTCAAGTATGAATATCTGCATATAGTTTGAACCATCTGTGCTCTTAATGGCTTCAGATACGTCTCTCCGCCTTCAGCAGGCTTTGAAATGGGAGCCATACAATATTAATTTGTTGATGTACATTGTGAGGCCAGTAGAATATATTTTGACCACAGCAATCTCTGACTCCTGCCATTGCATTCCTGGTCCCACCACTTCCCCGAGCCTTACAGACCACCATCTCCAAAGAGCAAACTCTGCAACTTCCCGCAACAATTTCTTCCTGTGGAACTTTCTAGAAACCGCAGACTGCGACATTCCAAAGGCCTTCCATTCCTAGTAAACAGGCACATGTTTGTGTTCTCACTTGCGCTGCTTTCTCAGAGCTCATCGTTTTTGGCCCAGCTTTCCAATGTTCCTTGGCTCCTCGCAACCGTATTGTCATTAAGGTCTTGTTATTATACATTACAGTAATTTAAAACAGCTAGATTCGACACCAAGATTAACAAAGCGGCTTTTCAGAAATGAAGTTTGCGGTATTTCACCAGGAGGTTTGTATTATTCATCTAATAGTTTGCAACCCGAAACAAAATATCATCCTGTATAAAGAAATGAACACTGAACCTTGTTTTGTAACTATTTATTGGGCTCTGTAGAATAACTGTGAGGAACAGGAGGATCGTTTTCTCTTTGTTCTTAAACAATCCTTTTCGGCCATATTACATGGTAAAATTAGCCTGTGTTGTTCGACTCACGTAAACATCTGCAATCGGCATTTTAATCTTCAGCATCTGACAGCGAAAATGTAGAGGTCGCTGTCATAAATTCATCAAAAGCAAGATTATTGTAGCACACGCTAGTTGACTTTGCGTTGCCTCGTATTAACCGTTTTCAGGATTCTTGGGGATTTAAACGAGCCGTTGTAAAAGCTCAGATGTTTTTCAAGGGCTCCCCCTCCCGCCATATTAATTCACTCTGTGGTTCTTACTGAAACTGATGGGATGTCTAACTGAAGATTTTCCCACTGTATACGTTCTCTCAGCCACACAAAACTAACTCGGTCGTTCAGGGGCTGGTCTTAGCCAATGGGCAACAGGGGCAGCTGCCCCACCCACAGCCCTGCCCGCCAAAGGAAAGGGGGAAAGAAGAAGAGCAGAGTACTGACGAAGCACCAGCGAATCTGGGGGCCAGCCCTGTAGCTAGGGAATTTGGGGGGAGGGAGCCTCGGGGTGGGGGGGAGCTAATTAAATCAAAGCATGATGCAGGCGGCAAGTTGGGGCACTTTGGGGTCAGCCCGGGAAAGGGGTCCCAGAAGAAACACTAGGGGGCCAGGCCCCGTGGTCCCCGCATTAGCTACGGGCCAGCTGGGGACCCATCTTGAATGCCCCCAGAATCACTAAAACAGCTCTGCTTGGAGGATAACTGTAGTGAACTAGCTCATAGGAGACCAGATGGTCCTTTCCATACCCTGGCTCTTGCCCGCTTTGAATGGGGCAAGAGCCCCCCCCTTACTTAGTCCAAGCAAGGGGAGGCCAGTGATGAGGCAGTGGTGATTCTGGGAGGGGACCCATCCTGAACTCTCACCCAAGGCCCCAGAATCACTAAGACCGCTCTGCTTGGGAGGTAACCTCAGTGAACTAGCTCATAGGGGACCAGATGGTCCTTTCCATACCCTGGCTCTTGCCCCATTCAGGTCTTTAACAGCCAACACCGAGTTGTAACTGGAAGCAAATTGGCAAACCTGGAATCTTGTAGATAGACCTCCAATCACCTTCTGGTCATCTTCATAGTTCTTCTCCCGTCAAGCCATTGCATCATAGTTGCAGAGACATCTTCCCACTTGTCTTGGAACTGTAGAAGGAAATGTATGTTCAGAGGAGCACTGCTGGCATGGTAGGGGGTTGCAGGCGCTACTTCTGAATCCAGACCTGTGTGTTCAGCCAGGAGATCCACAACGCTCAGTAACCTATTGGGTGCTTATAGAAATCCATCCAGCAAGGGGGATCCCATTTGCAGAAGTCCAGTTTACTGCATTGGGGTGGGGAGGGGGATTATTTTGTTGCCTTAATTCATAGTGCTTGCTGTTTGCGGTAACGGTTCTCGGCCACTGCCGTGTAAATTAAGAGAACAAAAGAAAAGA